TTGATGTTCCAACTTTTGCACAATGACGTATATCAATTTGTCTTAATTGGTGAACATTTTTTCAAACACCCGTATACTGTATTCTAGAAATTTCCTTATTAAATCCTAAAGAAAAATCCTGGTCGATGGTTTCAACAGATTTTTAAAGGTTTGCAGCTGTGGCAAATCGCTTTAAAAATCAAGTCCGTGTTGTTGTTTTTTTCCTAATCCCTACATTATGCTTATAGAACACGTGTTTTGAGAAACATAAGAGCAAAAAATGTGTTCACTGTATAATATATTTCCTGAAATAAGTTTTGCCACTAAAAAGTGTCACTGGTGAACTTTAACGTAGGCCATACGCGCAAGCAAAATGTGTGTGAGGGGCGGATAGTATTGCGAAAGGTCAAATTTTTTTCGTGTATTTTATATGAATTTATGAAGTAGTAAAGTTTTTTTTTTATCTAGCCTCAATTGCTATGGAAAAACGTGATTAAGTTAAGACAAATTGATTCAAACTGCTATGCAAAGCAAAGTGACAGTGATTCATCCGTTTAAGAGATATTTGAGGATAAGTTGCTCCACGTATTTTTGACCGCACTATAATATAAAATTCAAGTCAATGGCGCATACAGAATATCTATAGCTGGCGGAAGTCAAAATGGCGCAACAGGAAGGTATAGATATGCAATATTATGATAACAGGTAAATCTCTTGGGGATTACACTATTTTTTAAAATATATTTTCAGCCGTGTGTCTTGGCATCAAAATCAATTGTTACTTACCACTTCACTCGCATTCATCACTTTTTAAAATGTAGGCGTATATCCCATAGTATGAGTGTATATCTGCCTTTTTTTTAAACAACCTCTATCCCGTGCACGACCTTCTAGGGGAAAAACGCATCCTATTGTGCACAGCAAAATGTCCCATTGGGACAGTTTTCAGTATAATGCCATTTGGATATGAATAATAAAGAAATGAATGTATAAGTTTACTCACCCTGCGATCCTGTTTATCAATGCCTTACAACTGGAACTTGTAGTAGCCATGTTGAAATTGGACAAGTAACTCGGTTGAACTTATTGGACCTAAATTTATCCATGAGCAATAATTGGGTGCCAAAATTGGAACGTTCACAAAATGATTAAGGAATGATCTTGGGGGAAAAGGCGAGGGGAGTGTGTGTGTGTGGGGGGGGGGGGCTTTGAAACAATGCCAAATCTAAGGTTTGCAATACCTGAAGTCAGGACATATTCATTCAATATTTAAAGTATTCAACGTGTGTGCAAATGCTTTGTATAATACTCTCTCTCTCTCTCTCTCTCTCTCTCTCTCTCTCTCTCTCTCTCTCTCTCTCTCTCTCTCTCTCTCTCTCTCTTTCTCCTGCATCTCTTTCTCTCATTCTCGCCCACTCTCTCTCTGTGCCTGTGTCGCTCTCCGTCTATCTATCTATCTATCTATCTATCTATCTATCTATCTATCTATCTATCTATCTATCTATCTATCTATCTATCTATCTATCTATCTATCTATCTATCTATCTATCTATCCTTTCTCTCTTCATTTTTCTCTCTCTCATTTGCAGGTGCGCCTTACTGAAAACACACACATAGACACACACACGCGTATTGCTGCCTACTAAAGACGGGTGTCAAAGAAGTCAAAGTCATATATTTATTAAATGATGATTAAATCGGTGGCTGTATGATTTTAAACTTTAATGATGCCATCTATCTAAACGTTAACGAAGGCTGGCTTAACAAAGTGTATGCTGTCAAATACGTGGCACCGATTTAAAAGAAACATTCTGGGGGTTTTGTTTGTTTATTTCGGTTTTGGTTTTTTTTTGTTTGTTTTGTTTTTCGTGGGTTTTTTTAAAGAAAATTATTCTGTCCATGTCTGATTTTGTACATTTGATATGATGATACGTCATCTAAGTACGTGAGCTCCACTAATCTGAAGTAAGTTTTTGAATAAAAAGACTTTCCGTCGGTACATTTACTCCTTGGTATGTGCAATGTACGAGAAGTTTGGGATTATAAGTAGTATTAGTTCCATGTTTCGCACCTTCCGTCGCCGAGTCCTTTGAAATCGGAAGATCTAATGATTGTGTAATTCAATCCCTTACCTAAGTTGTAAACTTCTTTTTTAACAAAATTAAAATTCTATGTCATAAAAAGGATGACGATCATTTTTAGTGCTATGTGAGAGCATGGGTCGAGCAGAAACAACAATAAAGTAAATAAGTAAGACTTAGGAGTGGCACCCTCCAATCACCAGTACAACTTATTTAATCCCTCATATTTATTTTTCGACTCAACTTCTCGCTACCGACAGACGGACAGACGTGCCAGCGGGTGAAAGATGGACAGACGAACTGGAATGGTTGAGAGACAGACGGGCTCAGTGGTTTTTTATAAACAGACGGACTGAGTGGTTTTTGGTGGACATACCGACAGGTGGGAGTGAATGATGGACAAGTGGACTGAAAGAGGTTTGTGGTAGACAGACGGGCCCGAGTGAATGAAGGACGGGTGGACTGGAGGGTGTAGGGTGGACTGACAGACCGGTGGGTGCATGATTGATAGAAGAACCGGCGAATATATGATGGACAGATGGAGTGGCGGGTGTATAATGTACAAATGGACAGGGTAGTGTATGATGATGAACAAATGGAATAGCGAGGGTATGATGAGTAGACGAACTGGTGGACAAATGCCATCTTTTATGTTTTAAATCAACCCCACTGTTGTAACTGCCAACTCAAATTACGAGCAGCAGTGCACTACCTGGCACCAACTAAACTCTGTAACGACGACTATGCATCGCTTTCTACACAAAACAACAAGTGTTTCCCTCTGTCTTCTATCTATAGATCTGCGGAGTGGTCACAAACAATACCCTTGCCACTAACATTGAGGTACGCGGAGGAAGTCAGTCGAATGGATATTGATCTACGATAGGTGAACGAACCAATGGAATTATCTGAGATTTGTTTCGCTACCGCACCCTCCAGTTCAGGGATACCCTTGGCTGAGAAGTGGATTTTTCCCCAAAGCGTTTAAAAGGAATAATATACCTTCGCTAGTACTGTAGTTTCCTAGTTCAATGTAACGATGACAACGGCACTGATGCGCTGTAACGGTTATTATGCCTTGCTTTCTGCCCAGACAAAACATTGTTTACTCGTGAAGTATAAAGATCCTTATTGATTTCTGCGACGATCGGTGTTTGGTCAATATTTGGGTGAGATGAAAAAGAAAGTGGCACAATCAAGTGACGCGTTTATTGAATGAGAATCGGGGATCAATATAAGACATTGTAAACAATGTTTTATTCCTACAGACCAGAAAATGGATACACTTTTTTGGCCCAGCTTTCTACAGTCCAGAGATAAATACCCTAGCAAGATTCTAGGCATTTTTGATCAATATGACTGTTTGAAGAGTGATAAAATTCCAGAGTTGCAAAGAAATACCTCTATGAATGGATGCTTTCTGTCACTCGACAGGAACAAGCAAAAGCACTATCTTCAACCGTCCGTGCTAATTGGATATTAATGTTTTACATTGCCATTGATACAATTAAGAATATTTACTAGACATCAGCAACAGCAATAATGACAAAATGACAATAACAGCATAAACATCAACTCAAGTAGATCGTCCTCGTAGCAAAACCACCACGCCCCCCCCCCAAAAAAAAAAAACCGCACACACCTTGCAATACTATCTCTCAGGCAAACAGACTAGCTCAACGCAAAATAACTTACGGGTTCAGAAAGACCAGGAATTTGTCTCAAGACTTTTATCTTTGTATTCCACGGAACGGTTCAGTCAATCAACGAACTACAGGCACGGAAACACTAGAAGCAAAAGGTCAATTAAAAAAACAATAGATTATTTTACGTTTCTGGGTGAGATACACTTCACATAAACAGGAGAAATTTCCTTTCTGGTTTAGGGGTTGATATCTTTAGTGTGTTTGTTTGTCTTTTTTTGATAGGTGTATATCCCTCTGCTTTGCACGACGATGTCAAGACTTAGGCAGTGTATTTGGCTCTATAATTAAAGTATAATAAGCGAAAAGGTAGGAAAGAGATACATAGATGATACACAAATATATATATATATATATATATATATATATATATATATTATATATATAACTCCAGGCCAGCACTATGAGAGTCGACTCCCGTGTGTATTATTATTCCACTACATAACTAAAAGTATTGCAGCACCTGACAGTGGACATTACGTCTTTGTGTTATTCTCGAACACTAAAAAAGAAGGGGGTGGGGCACTGTACTCAATGCGTTTTGCCTCTGCTCCTCGACCATAACGCATTGAAGCCGGAGACATCTCCGTTGAAGGTTGTGTCAAAAAGGTATTGAACACATCATTTTTCTCAAGGAAAGGTGAACATATTCGAGTACATCTTCGAGTATCAAATTGTGAGACGTGCTCTTCAATGTACGCTATATCTTTACCATTTCCTCTAATAGGTTTGGGACTATCATACTCGGATATCACTTTTGGTAATTATTTATTTGAGGCTGTATTAGAAATGGAATTTGTTAAAAAGAAGAAAAATATTCGGGTGAGGGCCATTGAAGCACTTTGAGAAGTGGCAATGGGCTAAGGGGCATTGCCTGCGCACAAACTGTCTGTCCCAAAGTGACGAGGAAATTTGACGTGGGTTGTATGTATCTTTTTGGCAGGTAGGTCAAGAAAATGTTCTCAGGCTAGCCATCCTCAATCTCGGCTTCTCCGGTCGTCAATGATAAATGAGAAACATTTTCTACCTCACACGCATCAAGCGTTGGTAACCCAAAAAAGGGTTGTCAACCATTAGGAAGTATCGAGTCATATTTATACTGTATTGCAAGACCAATTTCTTTAAGAAAAGGCGTGCTGATTTATGAACTAAGCCCCCCCCCCCCCCCTCTACAAATGCAATAAGGATAACAACTCAGTTGTAGAGAAAGAAAGAATCTCTGCCAATGTTTTATACTGTGGTGATTCATGTACGCATATCGTTAATGTATTCAATACTACGTCGACATCACCCATTGTTCGCCCATTGTTTGCAAGAAAAATGGATGCTGCACAAACGTGTTGAGATCGAGCAACCTACTTCAACTTCAAATAAATGTGTGCCCATGCCTTGAGATCGAGTGGGGTGGGGCAGGTGGGTATATCTTTTTAGGTTTACTGTTACTTTTCGATTATATTGAAACGCAAGGTGTTATTTGAAATAGCGAAAGAATTACGTGGGCAGTGCGTTCGGAAACACGTCAAGACACTTTGCTGTGAGGAAAATGTTTCCAAGATTAAAAGGAAACTTCGGATCCCATCCTGAGTAAAATTCTTTTCTACCTATGTTGACAAAGTTTGCCAACAAAAAAGCGCCGTGTCGGACTGCCTTTTATATGATCTGAGGAAGTCAGTATGACCGAAAAAAGAATAGGTCTTTAAGGGTGTGTGTTTAAAATTCAGAAACCCAACTCAAAAGGATGTAACAACAAACACAAACTGGCCACAAAACAATCAGCAATTAATATAATGTAACACATATAATATAGTTATCGATTAAATCTAGATTTTAATTGCGATAAACTTACAAATACACACACTCTCAAACACACACACACACACACACACACACACACACACACACACACACACACACACACACAAACACACACACACACACACACACGCGCACATTCGCGCGCATATACATTAATATTGTTGCTCATAGATAATTATACAGCACAAAAGATGGTGGACGTTTCTCTCCTTTCTCTTCTCTTGATATGCATTATAAGAACAAAAAGACATTCCGAATTCCAGGTGTCCAAAACTTTGGCCGTAACTGGTGTCGATCCGTTACACCTATGCTCTGGTAATAATATATTGCCACGGAACCAAAAGGGCAGAGGAGGGAAGGCGTTCGGTTTTTAAAAAGGAAACAAATAATCTAATATCTAATACTGATTCTGCATAGAACAGCAACAACAGTTTCGATTACAAAATAAACCACAGTGTCGTATAAGATATTCATGGCTTTTGTGTGTAATTCATAAGCAACGAAGGTGAACTGGCATACTGTCCTGAAACCTGCAGATTCATCGCTGTACGCCCATAGTCATTCGGAGCTAAGTCTGCATTGGTCAAGCCCACTCCGAAGGTCGTACAGGTTCCAGAGTCGGACGTGTAAGACATGTAAAGACACGAAGAGTCGGACTGACAGATATCTGCACACTCCAAGAAGGATCTCGCGGGTCCCTCAGACAGAACGGGGCTGGTGGATCGGGCGGGGGATTGCCTGGGCCACGCTATCGTAAATCTGTCTGAGTCTGAGGACATCAACAACGTAGTCAGTGTTACTAGTATTGCTCCTAATAATTAATAAAAATGTAAACGTGCATTTATTAGCTCACAGTCTTACCTCGAAAGTACGTTACAGCCTTCTTGCTTATGGTTTCCATTTTACTGTCTGACAACGCGACGGCAATTTCTTACAGGGGGTGCCCACATGCGCGATCGGGTCTACAGAGAGAGAGAGAGAGAGAGAGAGAGAGAGAGAGAGAGAGAGAGAGAGAGAGAGAGAGAGAGAGAGAGAGAGAGAGAGAGAGAGAGTGACAGAGAAAGAGAGAGAGAGATAGTATACATGAAGTAAAATTCAATACTTAAATAATAAGTGATCTGGGGATGTTATTCACGACATGCACCACGTATTGCCATGGTGATGGTGGCCATCTTCAAAATATACACACGTCTGACATTTCTAAACTCTCAAACACTGATAAAGATAGTTTATTTTGTGATTTAGGAATGGAAAGGCAGGACATATATATAGAGTTAATAGGACCACCATGTTTTCATTTGATTGTTCTCATGGATTTGAATTTCATGATGTAAATATACATTTGAAAATACACCTTCCCCCAAACCTGATATAAATATACATTCACCCAGTGACAAAAGAAGAAAAAAGACAACAGTGACTAGACTTTAACTAACAAATATGTATTAGCTATCACTGTGCAAAATTTCAAGTCCCCAAGGCAATAAGCAATAGAGACTTTAAGATTTTCATGGAGTGTTGACATAAAAAACACAATTTAGAGAAAGTGCCTGTCAAAGTCAAAAATACGTACCTGATTCGCTACCTACACATCACGTTATTCAATACAGCAAAAACCTCAAAAACAATATTTGACCCACATTTCATCCAAAGTTTCACCACCCTTTAAGATTCAAACTGAAGCACACAAACATGACAGCATTCATTCAGTGCTTGAGACAAAAACAGACACATTAAATCACCAATGGAATAATACAGGAGAAGGAATCCCGTTAAACCCAACCCTCATTGAAAGATTTGGTTAGAATTAAATGTACATTATGGAGAGAAATCGAGATGTGGGCAGGGTTGACAAATTGTAGGATTACAATTTTAATTGCACACTTCTGCTCAGGTTCTTAATGGGTCTGTTTTCATCGTGGCTTGCGGTTTTTGTTTTTGTTTTAATTCTAAGAATAAGGGAAAAGAATAAGAATAAGAATAATCGTAGTAGTAATAATTACGTTTATATAAATTGTATAACACATATTCACGCACTACAGCATCCTCTTTGTGCATATTATAAAACTGAGTATTAGCTTAATAGACCTAAGAACATTTAGACACGTTCTCGGCTTCCGGAAAACGTGCAGTGCAAGCTGTGGACTAGACTCGCTAAAGCACGAACAAAATTACAAGATTTTTCGCCGTCTATAGCCGCTTCCCCATTTTCACCTTGGCGGAATTAGAAAAATTAGCCTAAATTGCCTTTCCCAAGGGTACAACATCGAACCCCTGACGAGACAGGAACCCATAACCTTACGGCCGAGAGTCTGAGAATCTAACAACTAGACCGCCGACGCCACCAAATGTGTTTGTACAGGGTTTTCATAACACTTACAGTTTCCACATATTGCGAAGAAGTTGAAAAAGCACTCTCTTGTCCGAAACTTTGCCACGCCTCTTGAGACCACGACCCGTACGCAGTCCTCCACATCCACTAAGTTGGGTTCATTTGAAGGCCATGTGGCCCACGTCATCTGCATGCCGTCGTCCCACTGATGCATGTGTCGTGTGTGAGACCATCGGAGGCCGGCCCATACGTTGAGATTTCTGCTATAAAAATAGTTTTTATTTAGTAAGTTTTACGTCACTTGCAACACAATAAGGTCTTATAAGTGTCTAGGATTTTATTGTTACAAAAGAGTAATAAACACAATAAAGAAGGAGTAGAGATAAAAACGTCAGATGATTGATGAGGGAACAGGAGCAACCCGCCAGATACCCACCACTATGAAGATAAAAGACAACACATAGCTGGATAAACAGCTGCTTGCATGTGTGTGTGTGTGTGTGTGTGTGTGTGTGTGTGTGTGTGTGTGTGTGTGTGTGTGTGTGTGTGTGTGTGCCTTTAGGGAAATGTTGTCAGAGTTTATATAATTTTTAGCATCCAATGATTTGTGTTTTGTGGTTCTTTTTAGTATAAGAAATATAAGTTAGGCTGCTTGCTGAATGGAAATGTGCTAATTTCAAACAGCATAGAGTAATAAAAATTATTTATCAAGTATCAGTAAAATCTATTGATGTTGCCTAACCGAAGCACTAAACAGAGTATTCTTCTAGAGTGACAAACAATGTTGTTTGTTTAGAAACTCATTTCTTTGCAGTGCGAAAGACTAATTTCCTAGAAGAGCCATTAAATTAAAACGGTCTACTATACTGTCGTATAGAACCATCCTACTAATGACAATGGTTTACTGACAAGCTAAGTTGATGCTTAAAAACATCCAAACAAATTTCCAATCCCCATATTCGATTATTTTAAAGTTAGTTTCGTTAATTAAACACCATATTCATGAGACGCGCTTTTTTTTTCATTCGCAAAATTTAATCTGTCAAGCAATGTACTGAGAGAACTGAATTATATATAATTATA